CTCAGCTCCTCTGGGCATTCGCTATTGTGAGGGCCCGGCATGTTACAAGCAAAGCAGCACCCCTTAAATGGCGCAGCAGCTGCATTCGCTGCAAAGGCGTGTACAGTGGCGAGCTCGGCCGATCCCCGAGAACGTTGTCTGTAGTAGAACCCCGGTCTCGGTCGGCGTAGGATATCGATCTTCTTGGCAAGCGCGAGGAGCCCGCGTAGCATGATTTCGTGCGAGATGTCTGTCTTCAGCCCTCCGACGTAACGGTCCACCCGCTCCGCTTCGTGCATGTAGCCGACTTGCTCACATAATGCGAGAAAACCGCTCTTGTAGTCTTGTCAGAATACTGAACGAGAATGAATGCATTGAGCAGAAAGTTGGTACAAGTACTAACCTTAATTGGGTTGTACCCCCTATGGGCTACCCCACTAGAGCCTACACAATATAAGCATTATAACATTTTGACACACCCCCATAGGCAAAGTGGGGGAGAACAAGTGGTCACAAGACCAGTCTAGAAAAGCAAAGCAAGCTCCAGGTGGATCACGAAGTCATCACACATTCCGAGCACAAGCAAATTGCCACAAGGCCAGTTCACATGCAGATTTATATAAAAGAGAACAAACAGTACAGTGATCATAACCTAGCAAGTGTAAGCATGCATGTATATATATATAGATCACAATACAAGCAAAGTCACGCAGTGAGTAAGTGAGGCAAAGTAGGCACAAGGCCAAAACCGTACAGAAACGCTGATGATCACCAGGCTGAAGTGCCTTGGTGAATATATTAGCAGTATTGGCCTAAGTGGCCACATAAGCAAGACGAAGGTGACCACGCTGCAGCAACTCTCGAGCAAGGAAGTATCGCAGAGCGATGTGCTTCGTTCTGTGCTCCTGTCTGTGCTCCTGACACAAGGCAATCATGGCCTTGTTGTCTACGTACAGAACTGGAGGAGAACGAGGCCGCTCTTCCAAGTCAGTCAGCAGGTAGGTGAGCCAGCGTAACTCCTGTGTAGCTATGGCCCCTGCGTAGATCTCAGCCTCACAACTGGAACTGAGAACAGAAGACAAGTGGGTAGACCGCCAAGAAACAGAGCCGGAGCCGAAGGCTGAAAGTGTAACCATGTGACGACCGCTGCGTAGCCAAGTCGTCAACACAAGACGCTTCTGCGTGTCCAGTGAGGACAACTGGAATCCGTCCTCCAAGCACGAGCCCCTTGCCCGATGTACTGCACAAGTAGCGCAACACCCTCTTAGCGGCCTCCTAGTGCTCTGGTCGGTGTCTCCCAGGCGCAACGTAGCGTGCCAGGATGCTAAGAGGGTAGGCAAGGTCAAGTCGAGTGCAGGTCATCAGGAACATGAGGCAGCCCACAAGCTTTGGATACGGGCCACTCGGCTCTACGGACTCGTCCGTAGGTGGAGCTGAGAGCGAGTGACTGGTAGGCAGAGGAGTGAAATGTGGCGAGGAGTACCAGAAGCCGAAGCGCGGAAGGACCTGGTGCACCATGTGTGACTGAGTCAGGGTGATGGTGCGCCGTGCTTTGTCCCAGGTGATATGCAAGCCAAGATAGCTGCGCAACTCACACAGGTCAGTGCAGGTGTGTCTCTTGTGCAGCTCCGACTTCACAAGGGTCATTGCCTTAGTGTCAACAGTGGGAAAAACCCACTTGTCGACGTACACGAGGATGTAGAACGACCCAGTGAAGCTAGGTGGGCGTCGCAGCCTGTTCTACTAGTGCAGGCTGCCCTGTAAGAAAGCTGTGCTGAAGTCAAGAGAGTGAAGCTCGTAGTCACGCTGAGCGGCGACTTGCAGCAGCACCCGAAGAGTGGTCATCTTCGAGGTAGGGGAGAAGGTCTAGAGGAAGTCAACTCCCTGTCGTTGTCTAAAGCCTCGTGCAATGTAACGAGCCTTGAAGACAGGCGGAGAACTCGGCGGCCGCTTCACCCTGAAAATCCACATGCCATCGACTATGTTCGCCCCAGGAGGGGAAAATGCGTCGACGTATGTGCCTGTGGACTTCCAGGATTCCATCTCTGCTTCCATGGCTGTCTGCCAATAAGAGGAGTAGGGACACGTAATCGCCTCTGCGTAAGAGCGCGGGGTCGGGATGTCTGGTGCATCCGGGTCTCCCTCATGTGCAAGCAGCATGGCCACGAGATGAGGTACTGCAGCTGCAAGACACTGCTGCATCCGGCCACCCCCTTACCCTCCAAGAGCCCACCACCCCCAACCCCCCCCCCCACACTGCTGCACCAGCAGCAGGGGGATGGAGGAGAAGGGGGGGCGGAGGGGCGTTAGTCGCGGGCGTAGGGGCGTCGGGCGACGGGCCGAGGCGAGTGGGCTAGGGGCGACGGGCCGGGCTAAGAGCGACGGGCCTACGGGCCGTGCTAGGGGCGACGGGCCGGCCTTGGGGCGATGGGCCTAGGGGCGACGGGCCGTGGCGACAGGCCTAGGAGCGACGGTCCGGGGCGACGGGCCGAGGGGCAACGGCCGACGGGCCGGGGCCGGGGCCTTGGGGCGACGGGCCGAGGGGCGACGGGCTAGGGGCCGGGGCCTAGGGGCGTCGAGCGACGGGGCCAGGCCTAGGGGAGCGACGGGCGACGGGGCCGACGGGCCTAGGGGCGGCGGGCGCGAGCGATGGGCCGGGGGCCGGAGTCTAGGGGCGACGGGCGTAGGGGCGACGGGCCGGGACCGGGGCCTAGGGGCGTCGGGCGCGAGCGACGGGCTAGGGGCCGGGGCCTAGGGGCGACGGGCTGAGGGGCGACGGGCCTAGGGGCGACGGGCACGAGCGACGGGCTGGGGCCGAGAGCTAGGGGCGACGGGCGCGGGGCGACGGGCCGGGGCCTAGGGGCTAAGGGCGACGGGCCGTGCCGAACGTCGAGAGGAGGGCCGCACGAGGGCGGCGCGTAGGGCAGCAGGTGGTGGGCCCAAGGTTTGTAATCACTCTAATACCATGTTAGAATGGTAGGAGCCATGGCTAGGGTGTGAGCTAGCCAAGGATGTCGAGAGAGTTCAGGCAAAGGAGAAAGTCGAGCATGTGAGAATGATTCACTGAAGGGCCAAAGGCCCAAGTTATACAAGAGACAAGTAAGGAGGGGGTGCACCACAAGCAGGACATTGATATAACTACACTACAGCTAGAACTACATGCAGTTATACAGAAATATATTCTGACACCTCGAGAAGGTTTGCAGAGAATGTGTGTGATAGTGGTGGGCCTTTGACCTCAAATCAGAGTGAATGTAAAATGATTGAGATGATTAAAACATGCAAATACAAACGTATAAATAAGAGTACATGGGAATACGAAACGACATAGACTAGCCATGTACTCTAACGGGTACATTCCCCTTTTGCGGCGAAAACCAACCGTGCGAATCCAGACGGTTATGAACCGTTCCGGCAGAATCCTCGCCACTGCTGCTGTCTGATGCAGTGTGCCTTGACGGTACAAATGCTCCGTAACTGTACGCGACTTTTCAGGTTGTTCCGTCTCTTCGCCTTCAAACTCGTTGCTGTGAGACTCGATTGCTACCGTTAAGAGTGCACAATGTCTTTCTTAATTTACAATTCGTAACAGTTTTTCATTCATCGACTTGGTTCGTTGGCGTGGTTACGATGGAGCCGACGACAGCTGTCTCCCGACAACGCTTGCTTACAGCGTACCTTCTGTATGTAGGCGTCGCGGATGTCGCCTTCTTTGGACAGGGGTAGCGTTAAAGGGTGGTTTACTCCTCACTTTGAATAATACTGCGCAACCTTATCCTCATCATATCTTCCTGGATACCCAAGTGCCACGTCGCACTCTACTTTCTTTGCCTTCCAATCCATTGTCTCACAAAGTAATTTATGGCATTCGATATTGCATACTATATCACCATTTCTTGTATTCGCAAATATTATTCGATTCTCAAACAATTACTTCTTCGCCTATCTAGCTAAGACTTCCTTCGCCAAAGTCTTCTGCGTGTTTCATCCTCAGTTTAGTCAACCCCGCTATTCATACGACCTAATATGAATATGCTGTACACGAGGTAGATTGAGCATTAAAATGCTCAATGTACCGTACGCGCAAGATGTTACATTTACACGTGCCGTACGAAGACTAGTTCAGCAGTGGCAGGAATGATTGCGTTAGGACGGCAAGACGGCCTACCATAGCAAAAACCACGCATAAGGCACATTTGAAGATGCTCCGAAAATCACCGCCAACCGAAACGAGGTTCGTGAAATTATAGAATGGTGTATCAATATCACCCGCGTCGTGTGGTTCCTGAACCTGACGGGCAAAATTGCAACCTTGGTTACACGTTGTATGACCTGGCAAACGCAGACTGCCGGACAGATACTATCTGAGTTTGACAACCAATGAAGCACCGTCTTCCAGATTTCGCATGCCAAGTAACCTGGACATGATTCACGTTTGCAGTGTGATGGTGTCTGGAAAAACGTTGTAAGCGCCACTTTGTGAGTGTTACGCGTGGACTGTTTGAGGACACGTGGTGTCCAAGAACCCTACTACATGGTCAGTTAGTGTTTTGGTCTTACGCTATTTCGCTTGAACAAGCGTCGTCTAGGAGCTCGTCGCTTTCCCATTTCCGTTAGACACGATTGCGCCGCGATGGAGCGCGCAGCCCTCGCCGTGCTGTTCCTGCTGACGTGGCTCTGCGCTGTTTCACGAGTTGACTGCGTTCCTCTCGACAAGTCCCAGGGTAAACGTTCCTCTATTACTACTAGTAGCGCTAAACATGGGAGAGGGGGAGAGTTCGGAGGAGAGTGACAAGTGAAAGGACGTGACTCCTCCCTGCCCTCCTTCCTCCGTCTCCCTTTTGATCCGCGGGGGCGCGCCGCGTGGTGATGACTCATCATATATAACACCTCGCTACCCACTGCGTAAACGAGGGTGTTATTAATAGGCGCAGCGGAACCAAAGCCCACAGGTGTTACATCATACGGTGTCCACTCCTGCCCATTCCTCCCTCTTCCAATTCCTTCCCTCCTGCCACCAGCGCAATTCCTGCTGGATTGTCAGAAGGCGTGGAACACAACGTTTGACGGCTGGATGGTTGGTGGGGACTGCAGCAAGGCAGCGAACGTCACGTGCGATGACAAGGGCATGATAACAGCCATGTGAGTGGAGCCTTCGGTGTCCGTGGCTGGAGTTAGGACACAATCATTTCCCCTGCATTTCCATCCTCTCCTCGTCCATTTCTCCTCCCTTCTTCCTCTCTCCCTGCCTCCAGCTGTCTGTCATTCGAGCCTGCTGTATTATGCATCACCATAAGGGTTGCATTAGACATGAGCAACGAGCGAACCGAACACGTTTGTCTCGAACAGTTTGTGAACACTGTCAATTCGAACCGAACCGAACAGTTTTCCTAAATGTTAGTGTTCCCCGTTCGAGTATAGGGTCGAACAGTTTTGAGGCAAGGCCGAACACTAAGGTGTTTGACCCGAACTCGAACAGTTTGCCTTGGGGGGTTCTTTCAGTATAGTCACATTCAGGCAGGGCGAGTGTACTAGAAGCAATGTCACGTTTCCTATAGCCCTACAAGAGGTATAGTTAGGCTTGGTGCAGATCTGTTGGATATCCAATTTTGCCTTGCTAAACTCCAACCTAAACCGTAATGCCCTTAGTTCCTTTTTTTAACCGTCTCCTACCCTAATCCAACCTTATACCTAACGTTTCCAGCCACAAAGTTGAATTTTAACCGTGGGAATGTGTTAGTTTAAGTAGGTAGGGGGCGGAATGCCATCCTTAGGCTATATCGACGATTGAGCTCGTTCTTGAGCTAAATCGTCGCCCTCCCCTTTTAGATTCAACCAGCGCGTCAAACTTTGACGCGCAGATAAATGCACGAACACCTAGGTGTTCGCGACGAACACATTGTGTTCGCGAACACCTAGGTGTTCGTGCATTTTTCTGCACACGAACACTCGAACAGTCGAACGTGTTTGTGACGAACACCTCGTCACGAACAATTTTGGGCAAAACAACCATTCGAACACGTTCGAGTCGAACACTTTCGAATCGAACCGAAGAGGGGTTCGATTTTTTGCTCATGTCTAGGTTGCGTGCCTGCCTGCACTTTCTCCCATTCCATGTTTGATTTTGGCGGGTTCAGAGTTACAACGTGCTGGATTGTAGTGTATGGATCACAAGGTTCTGAATCTGCTTTTCGTGTCTGTCAATCAAGTACATATTTTCTCCTCATAATATTGTTAGAGGGCCCTACGACAGCAAGGGCCCTCGACGACCTTGACTCGGCAAGATGGCGACTAACGACCAAGACTCCTAGCTGTTCGGCACCGAACAGTCATGCTGGAGCCTGAAGCCGAGGGGGGCTTACAGGCTGTTGCAGCTGCTGTGAAGACGAACCCGAGCGTCGTGCTACTTGATAGCGAAAGCTCCCACCATATCATGGGAGATCGCTCTGCTTTTGTGGAGATGAGCAGCGGCGGCGGCATCAAACATGTTATCGGATTCAACGGCGCTCCTCAGGAGGTGCAGGGGCGAGGCACAGTCGCTCTCCTTGGAGATGGGGGCTGGCGTGTCATGGTGCCGGAGGTGCTGTACGTACCTGGAGTGCAGGCGAGTATTCTTTCTACTGGGCAGCTGCGTGATAGTGGCGTGCAACTGCTGGATGTCGGGGACGCGACTCTGCTGCGCGCGCCAAATGGGTCACTTCTTGGTCGTGCGGAGTTCAAGGGACGTGTCCTCTGCACGAACTTCCAGCCATGCTCGACGCAGAAGCAGGAGGGTGAAACAGTGGCCCTGCGCACTTTGGCGACGGGCGTGCGATCTAAGGTGGACAAGTGGCATGCGCGCCTCGCACACGTCGGTGTTGACGCCATAGAGCGTACTGCGGCTCACGGGTCAGTGACGGGCTTGGAGTTGGAGAAGGGGGGCAAGTCAGGCATGCCATGCGTCTCTTGTGGTAGGGGAAAGATCGCCCGTCATACCTTTCCTCCTGTGGGAGCGGAGGAGAATGAGCTGCTTGGAGTGGTGCATGCTGACCTGTGTGGCCCTTTTCGTGACGCAGCTAAGGACGGTAGCCGCTACTTTTTGTTGCTGAAGGATTGCAAGATGCGGTACGTCTGGGCCTACCCTTTGGCCAAGAAGAGTGATGCATTGGTGGCATTCCAAAAGTGGCTCCCGATGGCAGAGCGGCAGTGTAAGACCACAGTGAAAGCGCTGTGCACTAATCGGGGTGGCGAATTCCTGGGACACGACTTCACGCTCTTCCTCGACAAGAAGGGGACTATCCACGACCTCACATGCCCGTACACGCCAGAGCAGAACGGGATGGCCGAGAGGGAGATGCGCAGCATTGTGGAGGCGGTGCGGACGATGTTGCTGCACATGGGTGTGCAACATCACTGGTGGCACGTGGCGCTGTCACAGGCCGTCTGGGTGCGCAATCGCGTGGAGCACGCCTCGCTGCCCTCTGGTGTGACGCCGTACGAGCTCGCCTTCCGACACAAACCCGATGTCAGTATGGTGCGTGTTTGGGGCTGCATGTTGCAGTACATGGTGCCGCAGTAGCAGCGCGAGGGGAAGCTGGCGCCGAAGGCTCGCTTGGGGTTGCACTTACGAATGTCAGCAGCAAGCAAGGGCTGGCACGTGATGGACTTGGAGTCCAACCGCCTCATCACCACGGTGGAAGCAGTTTTCTATGCGACCATGTCCTTGGCAGGATGGAAGGCTTCGCATCAGCAGGAGCATGGGAGGCGTCCGATGCCCTATGAGCCCCTTCCTTCACTCTTCTTAGGCACTCTTGAGGAGGAGGTGGAGGAGGAGGAATTGGTCACACCTCCTGCTATGCCCTATGTCCCTACCTCAGTCCCCACCCCACCTCCTCCTACAGTATACCCTCGTGTGGTTCCTCCTACCGCGCCTCCTCCATCCTCACCCCCTTTGGCTACCCCTCCTCCTCCTGTTATTCCCTCTCCTCTTCCACCCTCCATCCTTTTTGCACCTGCCCCACCCTCCTCTTCGTCTTCCACGGCGCCGCCTGTTGGTGAGGGGGGGACAGTGGTATCGCCATCTGTGATGATCACTGACAGGTAGCGCCTTGTGACTGAGCAGCTACAGGACGAGAGCAGCATGGGGAATTAGAGATGGTGGTCGTGTGTTGGATTCTGGGACGATCACTGCACCGCCATTGTGTCGCTCCACTCGCATCACTCGTGGTGTCCTGCCTGCTAAGTATGCTTGGGTAGTAGTGATTGAGCCAGCGGGTTTGGATGATGAGAAGGAGGACGAGGAGTGGACGGACGTGGACCCAGATGTGGTGGTCGACTCCGAGAGGCAGTGGGATATAGCTAAGATGACAGTGAAGGAGGCCTTGAGCTGCTGGAAGAACGACAAGGTGAAGGAGGCGATGGATGAGGAGATGCGGAGCTTGATTGAGTAGGGGACGTGGGAGTTGGTTCCGCGTCCTCCAGGGGTGAATGTGATGACGAACCGCTGGATTTTGAACACCAAGTTCTGATCGGATGAAATAGTGGAGCGTGAGAAGACGAGGCTGGTGGTGAAAGGGTTCACGCAGGTGGCAGAGGTGGACTATGAGGAGACGTACGCCCCTGTGGGAAGCTATGTGACGACGCGTGTGCTTCTGGCGATCACAGCTGCACTCGATTTAGTCGTGATGCAACTGGATGTGAAGAACGCGTTCCTCAATGGCGTGCTGGACCGAGACCTTTACATGGAGCGGCCGAGCTACTACGAGGATGGGACTCCTCGTGTCTGTAAGTTGGTGAAGAGTCTGTATGGGCTCAAGCAAGGGCCGATGCTATGGTATGAGGCTTTGGATGGGGTGCTGCTTGTGTCTGGATGGAAGAAGAGCCAAGTGGATGAGGCTCTTTACTTCAAGAGTAATGCTGAGGGGGAGATGTGCTGGCTGCTGGTGTATGTGGATGATTTGCTTGTTGCCAGTCGCAGTCAAAGCATGCTAGGGGAGCTGCGTGACCAGCTGCAGAGTGCCTTTCAGCTGCGGGAGATTAGCCCTGTGGAGAAGTATCTGGGGTTGCAGCTGATTCGGGATAGGCCCACGAGGAGGCTGTGGGTGCACCAGGAGGCCTATGTGGACAAGGTCTATAGGCGCTTCTTTGACGGGGAGTAGCCGCTGCGAGTGCCTCGCACCCCTCTTTCTTCTGACCCTTTCAGTGTGCAGACCTTTGAGGATGTGGGATGGTAGTCTCGCCAGGAGGAGTATAGGCAGAAGGTGGGATCCTTGGCAGTTTGCGGCCTGTACCACCCGTCCCGACATCTCGTTCGCCTGCAGCAAGTTGGGGTCGGGCCAGACTGTGCGGAGTGATCAGCACTGGAAGGAGTTGGACCGGTGCTTGGCGTACTTGGTGGGGAGCAGGGATGTGGCGCTGGAGTTTGGTGGTGGGCCGGAGTCCTTGGAGCTGGTGGGCTACGCTGATGCTGATGATGCAGGGGACAAGCAGAACAGGACCAGCACTGGTGGCTATGTCTTCGTGCTCGGAGGTGCTGCTGTCTCTTGGGCGAGCCAGAGGATTCGTTGCGCCACCCTTTCCTCCACTGAGTTTGAGTACGTTGCTGCTGTGGAGGTTGGGAAGGAGGCGCGCAGGTTGCGCTTCTTGCTGGCAGAGTTTCAACTACTGAGGAGTGAGGAGTTCACTACCCTCTTTGTGGACAACTCTTCCGCCATTTCAGTGGCAGGTAGCTTGGGGCTCAAGGGGAGCCTCAAGCACATGGAGCGTCGCCACATGTGGCTGCAACACATGGTCAAGCGCAGGAAGCTGCAGCTGCAGTACATCCCTACGAGCGAGCAGCCGGCTGACTACCTTACAAAGGCGTTGCATTTCCCCACCTTCAGCAGTTGCTTCGAGGCTGTGGGGCAAGTGAGGCTCTCGAGCGAGGGGAGTGAGACCTAGACACTCCATGATGGGGATGGTGCCATGGCCTATCCATGGCTGGTGCGATGCGTGTTTGCACTTTGAGAGTGCTTCGTTTGTATGCGTGTCCCTTTCTTTTGGTATGCATGCGTGTATGCATGCCCAGTGACTATAAAGGGCCTTGCTGTAGTATGGCAGGGGAGTATTAGAGGGCCCTACGACAGCAAGGGCCCTCGACGACCTTGACTCGGCAAGATGGCGACTAATGACCAAGACTCCTAGCTGTTCGGCACCGACACGACGGTGTAATGACGGTTTCGTATTGACCGGGTGCGACTGCTAGCAGCTGCATGAGAATCGGTGCAGGGTGGCGTGAGTCTTGGGAGTTAGGTGTTTTTCTTTGAAAGTCACGCCACTCCTTGCAGTGTTGGCTGGAGTGGCGTGCACGGAATGCATTTCGGTGCTGAGTTGGATGGAAGTTCGGCAGGGCGCGTTCACCCACCCGCACACCACTTTCGTGGGGTTGGGTTACACCGAAGCGCCATGCAACATTTGTGCAACTCTTGCTTGCCTATATTTGCATGTGTATTTGCTTTTGTATTCATGGATCATACTACATTTCTTGTGAAGTCCAATTGCTACTTGAATTCTCACCAAGTCCTTGGAGACGAACGCTACTGAAACGCTACCGAGTTGCTGGCGCAACACCATTCTCATATCAGAAACTCTCTCGCTATCGCTACGCTCTCCATAGTATTCCTTCAAATATTTCTTGGGAAGTATGCAACTTTTCTATACGTACGAGCTATTCAATTCAGCTGAGGGCGTAGAACTTTTGGACTGGTTTGGAAATGTTGTGAGTGCAGAGAGTCAGCTGCCAGGCAGAGTCATCGTTTCGCGTGTGCTTTTCCTTTATTTCGCCGCATGGTGTTTAAATATTTGAGATTCAAAACCTCAGCTGAAAGAGTATGTTCTAGTTTTCTTCCCCCTTAACTCTTTCTTTTGACGATTTCGAGTAGTTTCGGACTCAGGTCTTGAATTCAATCATTTAGGTCTCCCCAGCAACGAGTTTTCCTAGAGGTTTCACGCACCGAGAGTGCCCATCTATCCTCCCTCACCTTATTCCTTCACTTCCTGATTATTTTCTTGGCACATGCATGCCTGCTGTTTCTTCACCAGATCCCTGCGGTACAGCAACCTGAATGGCACGATTCCTGACTCTATCGGCAACCTTGCAAGTCTGCGTTCCTTGTGAGTGCCATTTCGCCTTGGGTTGTGTCTCAAGTTGGAGCCTGGAGGTGTGGCTTAGCATGAGCACGATTCGGGCTTGCCTCAAGCTGGCTGTGGCTCGGATTCGTTTTGAGCTGAGCCGAGTCAGGCAACGGTGAGCCACGTCGAGACACAGCAAGCGGACCTCTGCTGTGCCTTGGCTCGTGGCTCGAGATTTGTAGACCCGAGTTGAGCCGAGCCTGGCTCGGTGGTGTAATAATCCTGTGGGCAAAGGAGTTCTTGCGTGATAGTGAAGTACGTGGTAGAATCTCCTATTTCAGAACTGGTCCGCAGAGCGAGCCACGTGGCTTGACGAGTCAGATCTGACCTAAGTTGGTCATTTACGCCATTTCAGCCCACGTACACGTAACGTACGCGTACATGTACGTTTACGTGTATGTACGCGTACGTACGTGTACAAACTGTTCGCGATAGAACATTGCGAACAGTTTGACTCAGATCACGATTGCTTCGCTTGCAAAGTAAGCGAATGTCACCCGCTCGGCAGTTTCGTCACCGTCGACCTTCACTGGTTTCGGCGAATCCCAACTTCGAGTCAAACCAATTCGCATGATGGTATTTTTGTTATTGGGGAAATTACGAGGTTGTAATGGAATGTTTACACTATATGATGGAAATCATGATTACGAGGGAGTATTATAGAAAAAATATGCATATTCAGGCAGCCCAGATCTTTTTTCACCTGCCCGTACATTAGGCCTCCAACCCAACAGCCGCGTAAACGTACGTACGTGTACTAAACGTAAACGTAAATGACCAACTAAGGATCTGACTCAGCTTGCAAGGTCCAAGCCAGTCGAGCCGAGCCATGGCTCGTCAATGTGCTCATGTCTACTATGTCTTCCTTGAGCTCTACTATGCGCAAACCTTTGAGCCCCAGTTTTGTCATGCGTCAGAAAAGAATGGGAGGATTAGTTTTTCTAATTTGCTCATGTTTGTCAAGCCACATTGGACCATGTGCGAGGAACCAGGCCTGTATGTGCCCCAAGCAACGCGACCTATGCTCTAAGCATGCCCCTTTTAAATGTAGGTTCTTGCCAAACTCACGTTTATTTCAGACATTGGGATAGTTGAGCACGTTTTCCACCTGCTTTTGGAAGGGTTTGGGTTTGGAATTCATATTCGACCTCATGCTTATCTGCAGGTGTTGCCATGAGCTATTTTCCCAGCTGTCTTTAAATCATATTTTCCTACTTGAGCTGTATCAACCTTTACCATTAGCGGTGCCTGGCTGCTCGCACCTGCTCCCGCCCATGTAACCAGCAATGATAAGCTCAGGGTCACAGGGTCACCATGAATGGACAAATAAATGGTATGGTCTGCATGAATCCTGTAGAATGTTTATCTGTAGGGTTTAGATAATAAAAAGGCAATATGCGAAGACGTAAGCAAAGCACAGCCATGCCACTCATTGCAAGGCTCTTGCGTTTTGTCGAACCGGCTCGGCACGAATTGGGACGAGCTGAGGGCAGCTTGGATGAGCCAAGCCAACGAGCCGAGCAGCTCGTCCCTTCGACGAGCCGAGCTGGCAGCTGGGCCATCTTCTCTTGCCTGATCCGGATTCTTGACACAAGCATGCATACATGCCCTGTTTTTTTGCCTAAATGGGATTCCTGAGGTAATCTTGCATGCCTGCCCTGCGTGTTGTTGACTTTTCAGAATCCTGCTTTACAATACGTTTACTAGCACCATTCCTGAGTCCATTGGCAAGCTTACAAATCTTCGTCGCTTGTGAGTGGCTCGAGTGGCCTGATTTTTTTTATATTTTTTTTTCGCTCAGATTTGGAGGTCAACCTACCCAGAGTCTTCTGATATGTATGCGTTGCCATAAACTCTGTGCTCTTGGCATGCGCTCGTAGCTGTCTCCTAGTCATATTCTCCTGTTGCTGCTGTATGAAGCGTTACCGTAAGGGGTGCCATAATCCGAATTTCTGAGATATGGATGCATGCATGGCTTTTATAGCACAAGAAATTGTCAGCACATTATTAACCGTAGCAGAAAAAACCTGTAGACCCAAACACCTCTAGCGTTGTCCGGGCGCACAAACGAATCGATGACCTCACATTGAGTCGCCTTGTTGAGACACCTGGTGTTGTATCCTGTGCGTCATAACAGCAGGCTTTGAGCTTTGCACGGATTTGATTTGATTGCGTTTCGGTAAGCCCCGTTGCGAATCATGAGACTCGCACGGGTGTGCTGGGCTGGGCTACCCTCTGATGGGCTAGTCCCTCCCTACTGGGCTACTCCCTGCTGAGCTACCCCCTGCTGATCTACCCCCCTGTTGGGCTACCCCCTGCTCGGCTACCCTCTGGCGTTAATGTGACGAGCCGGCCCGTCACAGGCTAAGCCGGCCCGTCACAGGCTATACCGGCCCTGGTTAGACCTAGACCGCATCTGTCGGTATGCTAGTGGTGCGACTAAAAGAACCCTTAAAAGTGTTGTCCCCCTTGTAAACTTTGTTGTTATGTATTCTATGCAGAGACCTTTGGGGCAACACGCTGACAGGCACTATACCATCAACACTAAGCAAACTTCAGCTCTTGACATTTCTGTGAGTCTCTAGACTCTAGTGCCATCGCTGCTATTAATTGCATCATCATGGCCCAATTCTCTAGGAAATCACATTCTGTTTGTCAAAAGACGTGTATAGATCATGTACCTCCCATCTAGGCATGGATAGAATGTTAATGTTAGCCCTCAATCACATTTGTACTTGTACTTTATATATCTTAATTTATTGTAGTTTGCACTTTGTGTTTGGTTGGGTGTACACCCACATCCCAACCAAACCCAAATAAGATCTCCAAGCAATCTCCAACCCACCAATTGGACATTGCCTTGGGATTACCCCCAACCCCAATTCCCTAGGATTGCCCCTGATTCTCTCCCCACCCCTACCTTGCCCATTTCCAATGTACTTAAAGAGCCTTGAGCTCATTACTAATGCATGGATTCGAAGCGCAAGTTCTAACACAGAATACCAGGTTCGAGTCGAAGCAAAAATCTATGAATAAAAGTATTCAAACCTTGGCATGAGCAGGGTTCCGAACCGAAATGTTTTGCTAGCAAACAGAACCGGTTAATGAACAAACCGGTTTTGCATGGGGCCAATTCGTGGTTTGTTAAAATAGCTATTAAATCGAGCCGGTTAGGCCAAACCAGACAGGTTCGGTACCGAACCTAAGCAGTTCGTTTTTCCAGTGAACTTTGAATATGGTACCGTAGGAATCATAGGAAACACACTACTTAATGTAAGGTGGAAAGGAAATTGTGAGACCCTGAAAGAGTTAAAGCTCGAAATGAGCTCCAACAATTTGTTTTTTTTTTTTTGTTACATTTGAACTTGCACGACCCGGGTCGGTTCGTCGCGGCTTGGAAATTTGTTGAAAACGAGCCGCACAAATCGACGAACCGGTTCGGTTCATTGACAAACTGGATGCCAAAAAACTGGTATGGTTTGAGTTCCAACAGTCTCCCTATCTTCTCTATCCTATCGTTTGAGTTTCTAAAGCCGTTGCTGTTACCCAAGTTCTCAAGACATTTGTGCCCATTCGTTGCATTTCAACTCCAATGTAAGCTTAAATCTCGAGGCCCAGATTGCGGGCTGCGCGGGGCAGGATTACTAATCTTGCACACTTGTCGTTTTTTGTTATGTCTTTTGGCGAAAATTTGGTTACTGTAGGTGCGAAACATTCTGATTGGTCGAAGCAACACTCACTGCAGAAACTCCAACTTTCTGAACTCTGAAATTAGGGACTCTCTGTCCTCAACCTAGACATGAGCACAAGGGCGAACACCTGTTCGGTTCGCCTCGAACACGTTCGAGGCGAACCGAACATGTTTGTTTTTTTTGCTTAAATTGTTCGCCGAACAGTGTTCGATGTTCGCCCGAACACGTTCGTGTTCGGGCCGCTGCTGCAATTTGCCCCGCGACGAACACGAACGTGTTCGATGTTCGCCCGAACATGCCTTCACAGGCGAACGGCGAACACGTGTTTTTGCTTAAAGTGTTCGCCGAACCGAACACTGTTCGGTTCGGCAAACGGATGTGTTCGTCTAGGGGCGAACACGAACATGTTCGTGTTCGCCCCTTGCTCATCCCTACCTCAACCAAACATCGTCCCCAGAAGTTTGCTGACTCAGCGAAACAAAACCAACCTCAGCTAAATCATACAAGCCACTGACCTCGACTTTGTGCTCACCACCCCCACCCTAGAGAGGTCCACATTGCGCCAAATTAGTAATCTTGGGAAATTTGGACCTCGAGCTTTAAGCGTAACGTCTGTGGGCTTCATTTAAGGGCATTTCGCTGCGCCAAATAACACTCTTTTTGACCCAGTGGTTAGTGAGGTGTTATATTGGAATTAGAGCCTAGGGTCCACATCCTGCCTGGTCCACATTGTCTGCCTGTGGCGGCCTGTGTCGAGAACTCGAATGTGGTTACCATATTGAACCCAGCGAATGATCCTCCGCTGGCCTGAGCCACCAGCGAAGTAGCTGCTTGCACTACAGCGAAATCGAGGTCCCTGCTGGGCCGACTCCCTGAAGTTCAGAGCCAACAGGGGCATTGGCACCAGGGGGGGACGAGTGTAACGTCTGTGGGCTAGTGTTAGGGCATTCTGCTGCGCCAAATAACACCCTCATTTTGACCCACTGGGTAGGGAGGTTTTGATTTAAGGGCCTCGAAGGCCATATTCTTCTGCTTCCTTGTGTTCTTAGTCAGATTCAATGTGCATACCATAACAGTTACCTTGCAGCAGCTTGGCGTGTATTGTGTTTAGTTGAACAGTGCTGTGTGCGCAAGCCATAGATGTACAATGAACAAGTGGCCACAATTGAGGAAAATACTCGGTCTGCTTGGTTTTAATTGGAGACTTGAGACAGTCATATGAATACTGAGTTGAAAAAATCCACAGAAAACATTGCTTAACCACAAGGTCTTGCATATATGTGCAGCATTGTACTCCACAATGTTGCTGCCAGTCTGTGCCTCCTGTTCTCCTTTCACATCCCATTCTCATTTCACCTCCCATTTCTCCTCATCAGGGACCTCAGTTACAACCACTTAACCGGCACAATTCCTGACTCCCTTGGGGAGCTCACAAACCTTCTTCGCTTGTGAGTTTGCATACGCAAAGGTTTGGAACCTCTGCTTGAAAAAAAAGAAAACCAGGGTTCCAAACCTCTGCACAGTAAGCAAAGGTTTGGAAAAACCTCTGTTTTCCCTTTTTGTATTTGGTAAGATCTCTTGTTGGCCAGTGTGGGGGCCATAGACAACATAGTCGTACACTGTCAAAGTGCTGGGGGAGGTCGTGAAGGAAACTGGAAATGCCCTAAAATGTGCGGTTTAACACGCTTCATCTACGGGCACTCAAACAGTTTCGGTTGGTTCGACTCAAACCCAGTTCGGTTCGGGTCTAAACGGTCAGACCTTGAGGTGAACTGTACAAAAACCCGCGGTTCAGCGTCACTCTCATGTCTACTTGTGAATGCTGTTCTTTCTCGAGTCAACCTGCAAGCCAGGGCCAAACTCTTTATTCAACATTGCTGTGTGCCATTCCAAATGGGAACTTGGCAGACTTAGAGCTTTGCAGGTCATGAATCATGCATGCCATGTCATATGTGTGCACACACTCGTGGACCGGTTCTCTCCCTGTTCTGTTTCACACTGCCGTCCATTGTACGAAATGCAGATGGGTTGTCGACAACAACCTGACTGGTTCAATACCTGCGACCTTGAGCAAACTTCAGTCTGTGAACTTCTTGTGAGCTTCTTGTATAAAACCTTGTGCTAACTCCGTCCTCATTTTTGCAACTCACAATCTCTAGTCCATCTATTATTCCATTCTACTTTGTAGTGCACAGCACATCAGGGATGTGCTGAAGCCCGAGTCAGGGGCTTAGAAGGTACCATCTATCAGATGCTTTTGAAACTCTCTTGACCTACGTGTACAATACTTTCCTTCTTTCCGCATGCACACACACCCTCCATTCATCTCCCGTCCATCAGTAACCTGGGCTACAACCGCTTGACGGGCCCGCTTCTGGACTCACTTACCACGCTTACAAATATTAGTGGCTTGTAAGTGTTTTTTTCTCTATCTCAGTGTACACAATTTAGAAATGAGCAGCTGTATTAATCAAGCTCACGTGGCATGTGTTCTTTAGACCAGCATGCAAGTAGGCATGAGTATGGTACCGAACCGAACTGGTTCGTTTTTGTACCCTTAACAACCGAACTGGTTCGCTACCGAACAGAACCGGTTCGTTCACGAACCAGTTGCACGGTGCCGGTTCATGGTTCTTTAGAATAGCAAACAAACTGAACCGATTCAGTACAGTGAAATTCAATATGGTTATAGCAGCTGAAAACAAAAACAGAACCATAGGAAACACACAGAAATTATGTGGGAGTGGGAATTTGTAAGACGATGATGGGGTTAAAGCTCCTTATAAGCTCCAAATATTTGTTTTTTGGGTTATTTTCGAACTTACCTGCCCAGGTTCGCTATGTCGCACCTCAGAAATTTGGCAAAAACGAACCGCCAAACCAGTTCGGTTCGTTGTCGAACCGGAAGCCAAACAATCGGGTTCGGTAAAAAAGGAGCCGAACAGCACCGAACCGAACTTCAGTTCGGTTTCCTGCTCATGCATAGCCACAAGCAGCCTTCCCGGTACGCAAGGTGCAGGTATGGCCGTAAAGTATGATGCGGCCCACGGTCATAACCCAGCTAGCAGGTGGCATAACCCAGCTAGCAGGTGGCATCACCCAGCTAGCAGGTGGCATCACCCAGCTAGCAGGTGGCATCACCCAGCTAGCAGGTGGCATCACCCAGCTAGCAGGTGGCGTCATGCAGCTAGCAGGGCACAACACCTAGCTTTGTGTGTGCTAGCTTCAATGCTCCAGCCCTCCGTTCTGAACCATGTTTCTGTCCACCATTCTGTGCACTTGATGACAACCAGTTTCTCCCTGCCTGGTATCACCATAACTAGGGTCGAGAGAAGCGTAACTCGACATTCCTTTTCTGAATCTGCTCACTTCACATCACACCTCCCTAATTTACAAATTGCAGAAATCTCCATAGCAACCAGTTTACCGGTCCTATACTACCTGGACTGAGCAATCTTCCTGGTATTACAGACTTGTGAGTGAGCTTCTTGAATGGTAGGGCTGGATGACTGTTACACTCACATTGTATATTTTCCAAGGATTTAATTCTACTCGGCTACCTCTCCGCCTGCTCATCAAGCCATGAGTGCCCTTTCTAGCTGTGATTGGTTCAGCAATGCTTTGCTGTACAATGCTCTGATGTTACAATGCATCCGAGAATCCTTCTGCTTTCTGTATTCTTATTTTTCTCGAAGCTGCGTGATTGGGCACATACATTTTGTTTGGCTGTAAGAAGCAATTTATCCTAACCATTTTTTTTAAGCAATGTAACTTTTCCAGAGACTGTTCATCCATCCCTTTGTCGTCTCAATGACATGTCCAACATGTTCCACTACATGCATCAATCTCACCTCTCACTGTATGCACCACTCTCGCCACATGCACTACTCTCACCTAGGGATGAGCAGGGGGCGAACTCGAACATGTTCGAGTTCGCCCCCTCTCGAACATAGACTTCTGCCGAACCGAACAGTGTTCTGTGCGGCGAACGACTTGGGCGAAAATTGGTGTTCGCTGTTCGCCCTAGTAGGCGAACGAATTGCTGCAGCGGGCGAACACAAACATGTTCGAGGCGAACATGTTCGTGTTCGCCCAGGGGGATATTCGATATAGTCACACAGGTCAGAAAGCGATTTTGAAGGAGAAATGCCCGCCCCTACAACTAGAGAATTGACCTCTACAAGCTTGATCCCGTAGCTACCAACCCTTAGTGTTTATGAAATTACCCTACACTATTAACTACTTAGATGAAATGTCTGTGTAAAAGTTAAGGAACGGTGTGCGATGGCTCTTAAAACCGCAAGGCTATTGCGGTTGTAGGAGGGAGGGCTAAGCACCAAAGTCGTTTTGAGTTTGAGCTCAAGAAATGAGCTCAAACTCAAAACGGCCGCGACCTAAATTTGGTCGCGGCCAATTTTGACGCGAACACTTTGGTGTTCGCCTGCCCCCCAAATCGAACACGAACGTGTTCGTGTTCGTCTTTCCTTCGCCAAATGGAGGTGGCGAACGGCGAACATGTTCGGCCGAACACCGAACATGTTCGCCCCGAACGAATTAGGCGAAAAAAAAAATAGTTCGGTTCGCCTCGAACATGTTCGAGGCGAACCGAACAGGTGTTCGAGATTTTGCTCAAGCCTTCTCTCACCTACACATGAGAAAAATCTCAAACCCCTGTTCGATTCGACTCGGTTCGGTTCGAGTCGAACTGAACACTGTTTTTTCTTCTTTTGCCAAAAATGTTCGGGTCAAACCTTCAAGGTTCGACTCGAACATGTTGAACAATGCTTAAGCAATATAGCGAACCCTAATTCGGTTCGTCACGAATCGTGGCGAACACGTTCCAGACATTCACCTTGTTTGCCCGAAATTTGGCAGTGTTGAATGTGAGGTGAGTTAAATCAAGCGCGCGAATAAAAAATTTAGCGTAGATGTGGCAGTACAGAAGAAAGACATTGGACTGGGTTTGGGTGGTGCATTGCAATAAGGTGGGATTTGGGTGGGATGGACTGGTTGGGAAAAGTATACGAAACCAGCTCAGCGACACAAACTAGGGATGAGCAGGGGGCGAACTCGAACATGTTCGAGTTTGCCCCCTCTCGAACATCGACTTCTGCCGAACCGAACAGTGTTCGGTTCGGCGAACGACTTGGGCGAAAATTGGTGTTCGCCGTTCGCCCTAGGAGGCGAACGAATTGCTGCAGCAGGCGAACACGAACATGTTCGAGGCGAACATGTTCGTGTTCGCCCAGGGGAATATTCGATATAGGCATACAGGTCAGAAAGCGATTTTGAAGGTTCAGGATGATAGCAAAAAGCTTGATCCCGTAGCTACCAACCCTTAGTGTTTCTGAAATTACCCTACACTATTAACTACTTAGATGAAATGTCTGTGTAAAAGTTAAGGAACGGTGTGGATGGCTCTTAAAACCGCAAGGCTATTGCGGTTGTAGGAGGGAGGGCTAAGCGCCAAAGTCGTTTTGAGTGTGAGCTCAAGAAATAAGCTCAAACTCAAAACGGCCGCGACCTAAATTTGGTCGCGGCCAATTTTGACGCGAACACTTTGGTGTTCGCCTGCCCCCCAAATCGAACACGAACGTGTTCGTGTTCGTCTTTCCTTCGCCAAATGGAGGTGGCGAACGGCGAACATGTTCGGCCGAACACCGAACATGTTCGCCCCGAACGAATTAGGCGAAAAAAAAATAATAGTTCGGTTCGCCTCGAACGAACAGGTGTTCGAGATTTTGCTCAAGCCTAACACAAACAATGCGCGACAATTCAAATCTCAACTATGCAACGCGAAACGTCTCTAAATGCCGCGATATGTCACTGCTCTGTAGTGAATCAGGTCCATGGAAGCAAACACTTGGGGATTCGTGGCAAACCCTAAAGTGTTCGCCTGTGACCACCCACACACAAACACCTGTTTTGAACAAAAAACGTTCCCGGCAAAACTGCAGAAGTTCAGTCGAACCTTAACAAGGTTCGACCAAACTCGAACCTTGTTCGGTCTGACTGCTGGATTCGTCATTGTCACCTGAACAACACATATCTGCCGCGCGGTTTGTGTATGGTAAACATGTTGGTCGTGGTTTAGCGTCATGGGAGGTGTGTACACAAGCATAAAACAGCACCAAAACTTCTGGAGGAAGCGACTGGAGAGGGATAGGAGTGTTTTTATAAATATAACCCTTTAGGGTAGTTAGTCTAATTTAGTTAGACGTGAAGTTGGCTGCTGTAAAAGGACAGCCTAACAGATTCCCATTTTTTAACGGTTGAAGAACGGGAATGCCGTGTGAGGGAAATTTCTAGCGGCGATGAACCCCGTGAGGCTCATCGCGGCCAATTTGCAGCGCTGAACTGTTCAACGTGGGAGAATGATTAAAATTCGCCCGAACAGTTCGACCGAACATTCTACTCACATCCATGATTCGGTTCGACAAGTGGTCGAATTGGTTCAGTCGAAACGAACCAAGGTTCGGCCAGTTGCTCATGTTTAGACTACAGTAAAGGGGGCCTGGTGTTCGGCTCGAACTCAACACTGTTAGTCCAGAAACTCGGACAGTCGAACCTTGCTTCTGGAGAAAAAGTTCAAGTCCGACTACTCTCACCGCATGCACTCTCCTCACTGCATGTACTGCCCTCACTGCATGTACTGCCCTCATTGCATGTACTGCCCTCACTGCGTGTACTATTCTCACAGTGCTCACCACATGCACTGCCCGCACTGCATGAACCACTCTCACCACATGCGCTGCTCTCACAGCATGTACCACTCTCACTGCATACACTGCTCTCACAGCATGTATGCCCTCCATCTCTAACCATTGTTGCGTCGGCAGGTACCTTCATGGCAACCAGTTATCAGGCTCTATTCCCGACTCCTTCACCAAAATTACTTCCCTTCGTGTCTTGTGAGTGCCGTTCCTCAGTGTGACTGCCATTCCCATTAAATTTTGATTATGGATTGACTGAATGTGAGCCCTATGGATTATTGGACACAAGCAAGAGCCAAAATCATTGTGTCAAGTTGAACCTTATCGAGCCTGCCTTCTAGTCAAACAGAACCTGTTCGGTTCTAGTCGAGCCGAAATGGATGGGGCCAAGGTTCAAGTTCGATGTTGGTACTCAGACTCCCTTGACTCTAGTTCGGCCGAACCGAAATGAGATTCGGTTCTTTGCTCATGTTTACACCCTAAACACAGCTCACATGTGTATTCTCGGACTTGAAGAATGCATTCCTTGTGCTATTTACGTAGGTGTTCCTCTGATTCGACGAGCATTTGGTTAAGCGAAGAAAGTGGATGAAGAATTTTCCAGTACTGGGGGAAGGGAAGGGGGGGGAGAGGAGGTGTCCGTATAGGTGCTTCTGATGCCAAAGTGATTGATTTCGACTTCCACATTTGTGTGGGTATCTGATGCGGCTTCTGTGGTCCAATTTTCCAAACATGTTCGAATGAAGCCAAACATGACCGGTTTGAGTTTTTGGACTGTTTAAAAATGTTTGAGCCAAGCATGTTTGACTATGACTACTGCTCAGGTCATACCTTGTGGCACCCTTATTGAAAATGTTCAATCTTCTTATTGCACCCTTGAACATTGCATCGATGGCACTGTACATAGTAGGTACGTAGTAGGCTCGAGGCCTCAGAAAAGGGCCGAACCGTGCCTCAACCTTTCGGGTCAGCACATTGTTGCGACAAGTCAAGCCGGCATACAGCAACCTGCCAGCAACCTGCCAGCAACCTGCAAGCAACCTGCCAGCAACCCGCCAGCAACCCGCCAGCAACCCGTGTTATCAATAAAGGCTTGCCGTTGAGGCAACTACATGCATGTCAACCTTTTCATCTCTGTTCTTTCACATCCCCGTGGAATGTGATGCAGATATGCTCATAAAAACCGTCTGAATGGCACAATACCAGAAACAATCAGCAACCTGAAGCATTTGCTCATCTTGTGAGCCTCTCGAACCAAGAGCTGGATGATTGGACCTCAGTTCTTACTCTTTCTTATCTATCTATGTATCGCATGATTTCACCACCCATATCCATATCTATCCGACAACATAAAGTTATATCTCTTGTTCCATCATCAAGTCATCCTGTTTGGAACCTGCTGATTGCTTATCAATGCAGGTTGACTTCTGATTCAACTGAAAATTCAACTCGTTATTTCTCTTGAAAACTGTCACCAACACATCTTTTTTGGAACCTGCTGCTTCCTTATCATATCAATGCAAAATACATTCAGCAGCGCACTACTATTTGTTACCTCCCCATCCTTTGCCAGAAATCTGCACAGCAATAATTTCACCGGATCCATTCCATCCACGATTGGACGTTTGACAGGCCTGACATACTTGTGAGTACGAAGGCACACCTGTCAATCCTGGGCCAACCTGGGCCTGACATACCTGTGAGTACAAAGACACACTTGTCCATCCTGGATATTTATGGGCAACAGGGTGAGTTTCTCGTT